CCATGTATCTTATCAGATCACCATGGCTTAAAATTAGAATTCAACCGCAACACTAATTTCAGAAAGTCCACAAACTCAGGGAAATTTAAAAAAAAATGCTCAGTTGAATCATCAATGAGTCAGGGAAGAAAGAAATGAAAAAAAAGGAAAAGCTTCCTAAATTTTAACAAAAATGACCACACAACATCCCCAAATTTATGAGACACAATGAAAACAGTGTTAAGAGGAAAATTCATAGCACTAAATGTCCACTTAAAAAGGATGGAAAAATTCCAAACTAGTGAGTTAACAGAACACCTGAAAACTCTAGAACAAAAAGAAGCAAACTCACCCAGGAAGACGAGACAGCAAGAAATAACCAAATTGAGAGCTGAAATCAACAAAATAGAAACAAAGAAAACAATACAAAGAACCAATGAGACAGAGTTGGTCCTTCGAGAAAATCAACAAACCATTATCTAAGCTAACCAAAAGGCAGAGAGAGAATATCCAAATTAACAAAATCAGAAATGAAAAAGGAGACATAGCAGCAGACATGAAGAAAATCCAGAGAAACATTAGGTCATATTTGGAAAACCTGTACTCCACAAAATTGGAAACTTAAAGGAAATGGGCACTTTTCTGGATAAATATTACTTACCAAAATTAAATTAAGGTTAGATACACAAATTAAACAGACCTCTAACTGCTAAAGAAATAAAAACAATCATCAGACTTTTCCGCACCAAAAAAAAAAAAAAAAAAAGCCCAGGACCAGATGGCTTCAGCGCAGAATTCTACAAGATTTTTTCAAAGAAGAACTAATACCAATACTCCTCAAATTGTTCAACACAATAGAAACAAAGGTAACATTACCAAACTGTTCTTATGAGGCTACAATTACCCTGATACCAAAACCACACAAAGACATTACTAAGAAAGAGAATTACACACCAATCTCCCGCATGCAAAAATACTCAATAAAATACTGGCAAACCAAATTCGAGAACACATCAGGAAAATCATCCACCAAGATCAAATCGGTTTCATCTCAGAGACGCACGGATGGTTCAACATATGAAAATCTGTCAATGCAATTCACCATAAAAACAAACTGAAAAAAAAAACTACATGAACATCTCAGATGCTGAAGAAGCCTTCGACAAAATACAACATCTCTTCAAGATAAAGGTCTTGGACACTGAGAGAAACAATAAATGGGACCTTCTGAAACTGAAAAGCTTCTGTAAAGCAAAGGACCCAGCCTACAGAATGGGGAAACATCATCATCAACCCCACATTGGACAGAGGACTAATCTCCAAAATATACAAAATAAAGAACTCAAGAAATTGGTCATCAAAAGAACAAATAATCCAATAAAAAAAAAATGGAGTACAGACCTAAACAGAGAACACTCAACAGAAGAATCTAAAATGGTTGAAAGACACTTAAAGAAATGCTCAACATCCTTAGCTATCAGAGAAATGCAAATCAAAACAACTCTGAGATTCCATCTTACACCTGTAAGAATGCCCAAGATCAAAAGCCCTGATGATAACTCATGCTAGAAAGGTTGTGGGGGAAGGGGAACACTCCTCTGTTGCTGGTGGGAGTGCAAACTGGTACAGCTGCTTTGGAAACAGCCTTCTTCAAGACCCAGCAATACCACTTTTGGGTATAAACCCAAAGGATGCTCAATTGTACCACAAGGATATGTGCTCAACTATGTTCATAACAGCATTGTTTGCCATAGCCAGAACCTGGAAACAACCTAAATGCTACTCGACCAAAGAATGGATATAGAAAATGTGGTACATTTACATAATGGAGTAGTACTACACAGCAGAAAAAAATGACATCTTGATGGATGGAGCTAGAAAACGTCATATTGAGTGAGGTAACCAAGACCCAGAAAGACAAATATCATATATACTCACTCATAAGTGACTTTTAGACATAAAGCAAAGAAAGAGCAACCTACAATTCACAATCTCAGAGAACCTAGAAAACAATGAGAACCCTAAGAGAGACATGCATGGATCTAATCTACATGGGAAGTAGGAAAGGACAAGATCTCCTGAGTAAATTGGGAGCATGGGGACTATGGGAGAGGATAGGAGGGGAGGGGAGAGGAATGGAGGGGAGTGGAAAAATATACATATACTCAATAAAAACAATTTAAAAAAAACAAACCCCGCCCCCAAAAAGAACAAGGTTATTCTGGGGGAGCTCCATGGTGACCTTGGTCTGCATGTTTTGTCCAGCAGGCCACGTGGTCAGGGGACCAAGACAGGGCATCCTCAGTGTTCCTTCTTGTGTCCTTTCTAGAATGGCACATTTACGCTGCTTAAAATTATATCATTATAAAACCTGAAAAAAAAATCGGGGAACTTTCCTTCCTTAAGTATTTGATCCCCAAATGAACAAGTTGATCTCAAAAGTGCTTTGGCTATATATACAATAAAAACAGCTAACATTTGACGTGTTCATTGCACGCCAGCCAGTGGGCTAGATGCTTTCTGGACATTATATCATTTTCATGAGTGTACAATTTGCCCCACTCTCTAAGGAGAAAATTAAGGCTCTAGGAAAAATTATTTGCGTAGTGTTGCACAGCTGGCAATTGAGGGCTGGGATTTAAACACGGGTGTAATTCATGAACCCGCATGCCTGTGAAGAAACCGAATAGCGTTTGCTAGTATGACTGAGTACTGGGGAGCACGTGCTGCTTTAAGCCATATAGCCCTTGACCTGAGAAGGGAGATGACACCAACCATTTGGGACCAGAGCTCTTGTGTACTTGTCTCTTAGTTCTCAACGACAGGGATGAAATGGATGAACTCCCAGTGCACGGGACTGTCACACATGTGATTAAAAACTAAAGTTGGGGAAATCGGAAGAACTTCACGTAAGTCTTATGACCAGTCAACAGCAGACCTGGATTTGAACACAGGTCTTCTTGTTCCAACGCCTTTTTGATTTCCCAGTTTCCAGTTGATTCAAGCAGGTGACTAGCGACAAAGAAATGAGGAGTGGCCTCATTGAGCACTTCCTTTGTCTAGACCCGCCCATGTCACGTGGCCTGGCCCCTTGATTTCAGTCTACACCAACCAGATTGTCATCTCTGAGACTGTTCGGTGACCCAGCTGAGGACAGAGCCTGAGCGATTTCCCATCACTGCCCACAGCACCCGGCCCTAGAATCTCCTAAACGGCCCTCAGCAAATGAACGAAGAAAGAAAACATGACCTGAAGGCTGGAGAGATGACTCCATGCTTAAGACTGCCTGCTCATTTGGTCCTCAGGACCCACACAGGGCAGCCCACAATGTATGCGACTCCAGCTCCAGGGGAATCTGACACCCTTTTCTGGCTTCCATGAATACTGCACACACACACACACACAGAGAGAGAGAGAGAGAGAGAGAGAGAGAGAGGCAGGCATGCACAAATAAACACACATGCACAAGCACACACACATACACGTAATCTTGAAACACTGTCTGCGTTCACAATAGAGGTTTACTCCACCATGAAGAATGAAATTACTCAGTTTCAAGGAAATGGTTAGACAATGGAAACTGTCGTGTTAGCTGAATTAAGGCAGACTAGTTTTCTCTTCTATGTTAGAGTCAAGGGGAAGAAAATATTAGGAGTTGCGGAAGCGGAGAAGTGGGAGGGGAGGGAGGCACAAGAAGTGAACTGTTTGAACTACATTACACACATATGTAGAAACACTCTAATGGAACCAAGTACAGTGCACAATTAACACTAGTCAAAAATGATCCTAAGCTTGTCTGTGGATTTCCTCAAGCTTTTGTCCCCAGGCAGTGCTAGTTGACTCCACCTCACCACTCTATCCACAATGCCCTGTAAGCCGCCCAGCCTCGACTCCTCCTAGCCTACTCTGCTTTCTCATGCTCAGCCCGGTCCTCTAAACGTGGCTGTTTATCTTCAGCCTTCAGAAAACACTCCGTGGTTGCTGGATGCAGAGGAAGCAGGCAGACCCAGACTTCCTGTGGAGAGGAAGGTCAGATTCGGTCTTCAGACAACAGAGAGAAAATAGCGCTGTTGGGGGGAGGCAGTTTGCATTCTGTAGAGAGCCGTCCTGCAGTGTGTGGGGGGCGGGGGCGAAGGAAGATGGAGCCATGGTGAGATCAGAACCCTCACAGCGGTTGCGGAATAAAATACAGCCAAGGAGAAGGCGTGCGAATCAAAATATACGGGTTAAATTGCTGCGGGCTGGCACAGAGCAGGTGATCAATAAATATCGGCCGGCATTAACATCTGCTCAGCTGTGAGCCCAGAGCAGCGAGAGCGTCCCTAGCAGTACCTCTCCACCTGGTCTAGCCACGTGGGTTATTTCTTTAATCCTTAGCTGCTGGTAGTAATCCTGCTGTCTCCAATTTAAAGACCCAGAAATCCAAAACTCACAAAGTTAGGTTTCTTACCTCAGTAAGTAAAACCATGGGCTTTAGAACCAAACAGTGTTGGGCTGAAATGTTAGCCAGTTCATACAAACAGCACATTGTATATTGTCGGCTCCCAATAAATGGCATACCTGCACACGTGTACACACACACACACACACACACGTATAAATCTATATATATGTACATGCGTTTTAAAGGACATGCAGGAGTTTTCATATGTGAAAGGCAGTGGGCACCCTAGATGATAATTGCGGAGGCGCACATTTGAGCATTCAGTACAAAGTCTGAGAAAATACTCTTAGACGATAAACAGGGGGAAACTGACTTTGAAAGGAAGAAATCTCATAGGAGAGTAGAGAGAAGGCTTGAATCCTCGGGCCTGACCAGAAAGAATAAACAAACAAACAAAAAACACCTTCTCCGTCCCTACCCCCTAAAATGGGTTTGGACATCATGGCTCCCGGCCAGCCACCTGCTCACAGCCCACTTTCAGCAACCAGGAAGCTGTCCTGCCTTCACCTCCACCAATCCCAGCCTAGGAGGAACCTCTCGGGGCGTCCCGTTGCCAGGTAACCGAGCTAGCCTTACCTGGCAGTTAGGCCCCAAGGCTGAGCCCTGAGGTGGGGCTGCCTTGCTCCCTTGGCTGGCTTGCCGGGCAGCAGCGAGAGTGGGACTTTCGTCTGTAGAGTTTTATATTTTTCAGCTCACATTTTATTTTGCTTATAGAAGAAAGTTATTCACTCCTTAGAAAGAGAGGAGACTTACAAAGTGACTTTGTGCACACGAAAGGTCCCGGCTTGCCTGTTGGGGGGACCTTACCAGACTCCCCCTGCCTGAGACACGGGATGGTCCGCTTTCTAACTAGTCCTTGGAGAGACCTCCTTACTGTCCCTGGACTTGGACTTGGGATGCTGGGAGACTTCTGGGCATTTTCACACCAGTGAATGCTGAAGTCAAAGATTTTGGAAAGGGCAACCAAACCATTCTCGTGGAGGCTCGGGTTAAGCCTGAAGTATTTTAAAGATGACCAAAGTGCCAGCCACCAAAAAGTTACAGAGTGTCCCCAGCAAGAAAGCCCTTTGGCCTTCTTATACCTCAGACCAACAGACCCAGGTGAGTCGCCTCTCTGCTGAACCAGAGAAATGGATCAGGTTCGCCTGCCTGGGAGAGGGGAAGGGATGGGGGCCTAGGTGTAATTAAATTGTCCAGACATCCCCATTGTTCTGGACGGTTGGTTTCTCACAGAGAATGAAAACATGGATCAGAGCTGAGAGCAGGGCCCATCCCATTAGCCAGTAATTCCAAAATGATGGTCTAAATCGACAGAGACACGGTAGAGCGTCAGGGGAAAATGAAGATGAATTGTAGGCTGGGATCACAGAACTTAGCTCCAGAGATCTGCCGGGCAAGAGAGACAGGCCCTCCCTCTTACTTTGTGGAGAGACTGGCTGTGGGGTGTCACACTTGGGGTCGATGATTGGGCTGGTTGCAGCGCCTGCTGTGGTCATCAGGTGAGTTTCTCAGCATCTCTGAGCCTTCCTCTCCTCCTGCCTGCTGAGGTGGGAATGTCAACTAGGCCTAAATAAGGACCAAGACGGTAGCTGGTCTATCTCCATGTGTGTGTGAGGTGGGTCTGGGACAGGCTATCCTGTCTTTGGTGCTGGGTCCAGGGCTCCTAGATGCCAGTGTCAGAGCTGGGTAGATGATGTTTTAAGCAGTTTAACTTTGATGTCTTAAATGTCTTAGTCCGCCATGGTTAGCTAAGGGAGGGTGGTAGGGAAGGTGGTTGCCAGCCCACTCTGGTCCACCCAAGGGCATCAGGAGGGCTCAGAGTCGTGCCCCGGGAAGGATGACCTGTGGTAAAGGAATCTTTAAACTCTCTAGGACTCTACACATGGTCCAGAAAGTTCCAAGGCAACTTCTTCTGGTTGTTTTTTTTTTAAGATTTTATTATTTTTGTATTATGCTTATGAGTGGTTTGCCACTGTGTGCCTGATACCCCAGAACTGGAGCTAAGGATGACTGAGTGGCCGTGTATGTACAAGGACTCAAACCCTGCAAAAATAGCGAGTGCTCTTAACCTCTGAGCCACCTCTCCAGCCCCAAGGCTGCTACTCTTGAAACAATGATGTGTCTTTACTCACCCCGCCTTGCTCGGCCCACTGGGGATGATGCCCATGTGTTTCTCCTGTCATCTCCAATTGCTTCACTGAGTACGTTTGACCCAGAGCTTCCTCCCTGGAATCAAACTTCAAGGCCGAGCAAGAAGGGAAGGAAGCGGGACTGTGTGTGAGATGATCGTCGCAGGAGCGGGCTCAAAGGACCCACATGGCTTCCCGACTCCATAAGGTGTTCTCTGACTATAGGAAGTGGGTCTCAAGAAGAGGATCACATTGTCCAAAGAATTTTGGAAAGGTTAATAGCCTCACTTTTTCCAGAGGGTGACTAGCAAGCAAGCAAGCAAACAAGCAAACATACCCAGTAGGGGTTCATTTGAGTGTTGTTTTTTTTTTCCTAATGCAGAGCGGCCCTGTGTCTCACTCCTTTTATTATTAATTATTATTATTATTCAGTTTTATTTTATGTACATTGGTGTGAGTGTGCCAAATCCCCTAGAACTGGATTTCCAAACAGTCGTGAGCTGCCATGTGGGTGTTGGGAACTGAACCTAGGTTCTCTGAAAGAGCAGCCAAGGCTCTTAACTGCTGAGCCATCGCTCCAGCCCTGTGTCTCACTCTTGAGTGATGTGAGCCCCGCGTCAAATTCTCATGCCATTGGCTAATACAGGGCATCAGTGTCTAGAAAGAAAGGAAAGCTGTGCACACATTTTGATTCTAACAAGTGCTCACCCTGGAGGGATTTGAGTTTCTGTTGAGTGGATGCTTTACAATTTTTTTTTTGATGGAATTTGTCTTATTTAACTTTGCTAGGAAAGACAGTACACTTTGTTTGCATTTCTCATATGACCTCCTCACACACACCATGGCATACACATAAAATAGATAAGTAGAATTTATTGTGTTTTTTAAAGACCTCTCTTCACTGCTGTTCCTCTTCCTAAGACATGTGATGGCCTCAGGGTATCTCTGGCCATCATCCAGAAGAGCAAACCTTCTGAACATCAGCATTTCAGAGCCCCTGGAATGCCCCTTGGCTATGACAAACTACAGGGAAATATGTGGCTCTGAAGGCAGATCCCGGGGCCGGTAAAACTAATGTCAGTTCCCACCGCCATGGTGATGCCTAGCCTGTACTGAGCATCTGCCGGGCGTCACATTCAGAGCCAAAGCGTTCCCATAGCCTCCTTCAGTCTGTCAAGACCTGGAGATGCGAGAAGTACCAAGGCTCGGAGAGGACAGAACCCAGGCAAGAGGCAGAGCTGGGGTTCGAACTGGAATCCCACACACTCCAAAGTTCAGTCCTTCTCTCTATTCCTATGCTGACTCAGAGGTTGTCCTGCTTGGTGCCCAGCATGTAAGGGGCACAACAACAGTCAGATGGTTTTCTAGGCCTGTTTTGGGGAGGGAAGGGAAAGATATATAAAAAGAGAATTCCAAAATGCCATACTGGAGGAGGAGTGTAGGAGGAATAGCTCTCATGAGTGACCCGGCATCCCCAGGAGGAAGATGGGGCCCGTCCTGCATCCATCACATGGCCATAATTATCAGCTGCTGGCGCTGCCACAGACGGCTCCAAAGTCTCCTTCTCACAGAGAGAAAGGCTGTGAGGTCAGAATTAATGTTACACAGATGGCTTTCACGTGCAGTCTCTTCATGTGACCCTGGTCTTGTTTTGTGTGGGTTTTTGTTTAGTTTTGTTTCTCCCAACAGAAGGAATATAATCATGTAAATCCCCTGGTTGAAATCTTTTGTTGAAGCAAGCTTGTAGATGGAGTTTTCCTTTCCTGCCAGATCACTCTCAAATAACCAGAGAGTTTTGTTATTAATTATAAACATTTGGCCAATAGCTCAGGCTTATTACTAACAAGCCCTTACATTTGAAGTTAATCCATATCTCTTGCCTACCCTTTGTCACGTGGTGGTATTAGCATGGCACGCTCATCTGCTCTCCCTCTGGCTGACGACCCTCTCCCTCCGCCCCTCGTCTTCCCAATGTCCTCAGTTTGGCTCTCCTGCCTAACCTTATCCTGTCCAGTTATTGACCAGTCAGCTTCTTTACTAAACCACTCGAGCAACACAGTGTAAAGGAATATTCCACAAAACGTTCCTGCTCCCTCATCTGTTTAGTGGTTCTGTTTCCTTTTGTCCCCCACAGGAAGCTGGAGGGAGCCTAACAGCAATCACAATAGAGGGAGGGTTCCTCTGGGGGATTGCAGGGAATCCACAGTTTCTGACTCAGAAAAGGCTAGGGGCCTTATCAAACAAACATCCCCTCCATATTCTAGAAAAGCGATGACGTTGGCTCTCGGTGCCTGGACTTCCCACCTTGCCGTCATTAAATCCCAGGATAGAAAAGAATGGCCTTAACTTGGCCGGATCCTAAAACTTTCAGAATGACATTCTAGAGGAGTCTCTTCTAACTCAACAAGTGGCCCAAATAGTGAGTAGATTCTCCAATAGGCCAAGTAGGCTTCCACCCGAGCGGTCTGGTGACCTTAGGCAGATCATGTCCTCTCCGTGCCCCGCTTTGCAATTCTGTGAAATATGCACATCACGTTTAAATTTTTATCTGTTATTATTGTTGAGGGGGGCAAGGTCGGAGGGCACGTGTCCTCAGTACCCACAGTGAGGTCTGAGGAAATCCTCTCCCTCCACCTTTAACATGGGTTCTGGGACCAGGACTCAGGACAGCAGATTTTTGCAGCAAGCCCCTTTACCTGCTGAGCCACCTCGCCAGTCCAATCCCCATTTGTCTTGAGAACTAGAACCTCTTCTCTGTCATGGTGCGGCGTCTGTTTTATGATGGCTTTTGATTTTATTATTTATTTCGCATCACTATAACAGTAAGCGGTACAAGTTAAGGAGGTGCTAGGAAGTGCCCTGCTCCAGAGACGTTAAAATGTGAACCATGAGCTGCATCTTACTGCAGAGGAGTTTGGCTAAAAGGCTCCACCCTGAGAATACGGCTTCTAGAAACAGATGGGTGTGTGGGGGTAAAATTCAAACTGAGTTTGGCACAGTGTAAGCCAACTAACTGAGCATCAGCTGCCATGATGGTGGTGTTAAATCTCATTAATGACCAGAGGGTTAAGGTCTTATCGCTGGGTACACTGGGGCCGGCAGAGCCCCGAGGTCCAGTTCTCTGTTGAGAACCGGTCAGGCTCACCCCCGGAGCCTCAAGGCCCAGATCTCCGCTGGGAACTGGACAGGCGGATGATGAGGGAAGGAAAAGGGAAGCCATGTAGGACGCCTGATACTGAACACACCTGAGCCTGTGCACTCATGGGGAGGAGTCTGCAGAGCCTCGGCTCCCTCTGCATTCAGGTGCCTGGAATCTAACAAGATGTCTTAGAAAGATTCTCTTCTGCCAGAGGAAGCCCCCTAGCAGGACAGCAGGCTCCACTGTGCCAGACAGGAGGAGGAACTGCGTCCTGGAGAGGAGAAGGCCAGATGAGTCACTGCAGTTTGGTTGAAAGCAAACCTGGAGCCAGGCGCTCTCCAGACCTCTAATCAAGGATGCCACACCCCCTGCACTGGATCACTGATTACACTGAAAAAGTAGTAAATTATCTAATGACCGCTTGTGATTTAATACTGGGGGAAAAATTTAGGCAGCCAGAGCCCTGTGTGCCAGGCATGATTTGGGCCAGAAAATAGCAGGGAGCCATTTCTCTCTCCAAGGG